GCACTCGCGTTGCGGCGGCGGCTTCCTCGGCGGCGCCGGCGGTGGCCCAGGCGGCGAACGCGGCACTCGGTGGTGGCGGCAGCAGCCTCAGCGTCTCTGGCATTTCCGGTTCCTGTCGCCCCGCTCTCGACGTTGGGCCAAGAAGGGTGCCACTCTCCGCCGGGCGGGGCTCCTCGCTACAGCACCACCTTATGGCGGGAGGAGCGGAGGCGGCGCGGGCAGGACGCGATCTGGGAGGGGACGGCGGTGAAACCCAGAAAGGGACAGCAAAACAGGGGCGAATGGTAGTGTGTCTCTATTCATTTTTTTTTTCACTCAGCAAATATATATTGAATACCTGTTCAAAGCAGATGAAATTCCTGTCCATGTGCCAGGTAGAGAGCAGAGAGCAAACCAGGCAAATATCCTTGCCGCTTCATGAAGATGACAGTGCGAGAAGGGACTAGGGTCTGGGGGATCTGAGTGTCTGGGGGATCTAAGTTTTTTGTAGAGACGTGGGCGGGAGAGGGGGTCTCGCTTTGTTGCCCAGGCTGGTCTTGAACTCCTGGCCTCAAGCAGTCCTCCCACCTTGGCCTCCCAAAGCGCTGGGATTACGGAAGCAACCACCATGCCCGACCACAGCTTTAATATTAATTAGTGATCTTCGGCAGGTCACTCCATCTCTTTGAGACTTTATTTATTTAACTATAAAAGGGATATGATAACACATATTACTTAATTGCAATGAAAGGAAACCATGGATGCACACTAACACATAAAAATGAAGAGACTGGAGCCCAGAGGGGAGAAATAAATGACTTTTTATAATCAGAACCAGACTCAGGCTCCTTGACCTACAATTTCTTTCCTAGTCTACACTATACAGTGGCTGGGGGGAAAAGAAAGGGAGTCTAGGAAGATGTCTGGGAAAGTAGGGGTAGAATAGAACCCTGGGAAAGCTGGGTCTCGCCTGTTTTCTGTTATTACAAAAAAACCACGCATCAGAGTTGTGTGTCATTAAGATTTATCATAATAGCACTAATACAAGATCCATGTGGGTGCCATGTTCCACTTCACAGTGTATAATTATTCACTCTGGGCAGGGCTGGGTGGCTCAGCCTGTAATCCCAGCACTTTGGGAGGCTAAGGGGAGAGGATTGCCTGAGCACAAGAGTTCAGGTCCAGCCTGAGCAACTTGGCAAGACCTTGTATCAACAACAAATAAAAAAATGTAGCGGGGTGTGGTGGCACATGCCTGTAGTTCCAGCTCTTTGGAAGGCTGAGGCAGAAGGATCACCAGAGCCCAGCAGGTTGACCATGGGATGGCTGTGAGCGTGACACTGCACTGCAGCCTGGGTGACGGCGTAAGACTCCAACAGAAAGAAAGAAAGAGAGAGAGAGAGAAGAAAGAAAGAAAGAAAACATGGCCTGGCCATACCTCAAAGAGCACATGGCCTTACTATAGCTTAGCAAGGTAATGGTGGCAATGGTCTGGCAGTGGCCAGATTTGTTTTAAAAAGAACCACTGAGAGATAAAATGCTTGCTTACATCATGTGGCTAATTATGAGTTAGACTGGATTGGACGTCATATTTCTGGGTTTTCAGTCTTATTTTCTCCCTCTGTGGCTGTTATAAAAACACCTCAAACCCTGCGGAGGTTGCAGAGTAGTGTCTCCCACATGGCACCCTGGAACCTTACGAGCTACTACACAGGCAGAGTCTTGAACCAAAACTTTTCTGAGTCTTAGCAGAATGCGGTGGGATTTTCCCCAGAGCGGGAGAGAATGGGAGGCTGGCAAGGGCCTGAAGACACAATCTCCCCTGGGAGGCTGGTAGGAGGCAGGATAGCACTGTAGAATGCTAACACCATGTGGTGGCTCCTGCCTCTTCGATAGGGTGTCCCACAACTCACATTGAAGTCATCTAGCCCCTTTTGTTTCAGTACAACTATCCCTCAGTGTCTGCAGGGGATTGGCTCCAGGACGCCCAGCAGATACCAAAACCAGCCATACTCAAGTCCCTGATATGAAATGGCATAGTATTTGCATATAACCTATGCACATCCTCTTCTTATATAGTACTTAAGTCATCCCTAGATTACCTATAATACCTAAAACAATGTAAATGCTATGTCAACAGTTGTTATACTGTATTGATTTTTTGTTTTTTGGGTTTTTTTTTTAGTTGGAGTCTCACTCTTGTCGCCCAGGCTGGAATGCAGTGATACATGCACCATCCTTCTGTCTCAACCTTCCAAGTAGCTGGAACTACAGATGCACCCCACCACGCCTGGCTAGTTTGTTTGTATTTTATTATAGAGATGAGGTCTCACCAAGTTGCCCAGGCTGGTCTCGAACCCCCAGGCTCAGGCATTCCTCTTGCCTCGGCCTCCTAAAGTGCTGGGATTACAGGCTGTGCCACTGCGCCTGGCCTGTATTGGTTTTTTTAATTTATATTTTTGGCTGTATTTTGTTTGTTTGTTTTTTGAGTTGGGGTCTCATTCTGTCACCCAGGCTGGAGTGCAGTGACATGATCTCAGCTCACCCCAGCCTTGATCTCCTGGGTTCAGGCAATCCTTCTACCTCAGCCTCCCAAGCAGCTGGAACTACAGGCACATGCCACCACGCCCAGCTAATTTTTTTTATTTTTTGTGGAGATGAGGTCTCACTATGTTGCCCAAGGTAGTCTCAAACTTCTGGGTTCAAGCAACTCTCCCGCCTTGGCCTCCCAAAGTACTGGAATTACAGGTATGAGCCACCATGCCCAGCCTGTTATTTTTTATTTTCTTGTATCTTTACAAATATCTTTCATTTGAGGTAGATTTAATCCACAGATGTGGAACTCATAATATGGAAAGCCAACTGTATTGTCCTTCTTGGTATGTGGGATAAGGGCCACAGGCAGCTGGCATCTTTGAGCATTCTTCCTTTTGCAGCATGTGTAAGTAATAAACTATCTGAATCTAGAAGTAGCTTGATTCATCTTTACTGGATGAATCAGGCCTTGGCCTTGCCACATCTAGGATGTGTACTTGACAAAGCCAGCTTGCTTTCTGTTGCCCTGCGCCCTAGGGTTTGTGAGGAAAAGGCAAGTTACAAGACATATGAGCTGTGAATGAGACAGGTGTGACAGGGCTGATGCAAAGCCACTCCTTTCAAATGCTGGGTATTGTTGTCCACAAAGATGTTTTAATCATCTGCTGTCTGAAGCACATTGTGTTAGGGAACATAGGATGTCAAAAGGAGGCGATCTGTGTTCTGGGAGACTCTAATCTAAGTGAGGAAAGAGACCATGAGCACTACAGCAGTTAGTTATAGGACATGGTGCTAGAGTTTGTGTTTTTCCACTTTCCCTGTTCAATGCCGCTTTTGGGGGGCATGGTTCAAATGAAACTGCAATAACAAAAAAAGACCCCGATTTTATCTTTCATATTTATTGAAATTGTTGTTTGAATAGGCAATGCTGCCCCAAGAAACTGATGTTATTGCTTTCTTGCATATACTTCCAGTAATATTTTATAATCTGTGAGCAAATGCATAGACATGGATATATTACTCCTCCTGCTACGCCACTCTTTTC